CCCAGTGCACGTGCGCACGGAATTAAGAAGAATCAAGGAGTTGTGTGCACTAATCTCACACACATGTTCACGTAAAGCACTGCTGTCACTTCTCTTATTCTTACACAATAGAAATGTACGCTCAAGGTGTGGAACACAGTCACTCAAGAAGTCGGAGTGCTGAAGTCCTCCCAAAATATGAACCAGGGGAGCGCAGAGTGCCTTACGCTGGGTGGTGTCGGGAAGTTTGTATGAACTATGCAGACGTGGGCCGCTCCCCAAGAGCGTGCCAGTCTGCCCACAGATGTTATTGCTACCACAAGTGCTATTTTAAAAGAAAAGATGAAAAAGGAAACGCATGGCTGTGGGCCTTGAGGTCAACCTCAGGAGCTCTGCCAGTGCCGTGTTTTGCTACAGAACAGTAGTTCTCCAACTTCCTTGCAGAAGGCCTTACGTGAAAATCTAAGAGAGCAGTGTAAGAAATACAAGCTGGGAGGCACTTCAGTCAGCCTTATCCCCAGCACCTCCAACCTACGTTTGCACCAGCTCAATAAGATGCCCACTAACTTTTCCTTTAAAATCTCAAATTCCAGCAATTTCACAGCCTGCCCAGGAAAGGTACCCCAGAGCTGAACTCTTCCTGCTGTCAAGGCCAACAGCCCATTCTGATGTCTGAGCCAAATGTCTCCTGCTGCAGTGCAATCTATTTTTCTTGTCCTACCTGCAGCAGTGATGGAAAGTGTTTATTTCCTCCTTCTTTGCAGCTATGTCTTGCAGATTTGAAAACGTGTCTCTCTGATCATCTTGAAACAAGCCATCTTCCATCCTGTCATCCCTCTCATTGTTTTTCTCTGGCTTATCTCCAGCTGCTCCACATTTTCCATGAAGTGTGGTTCCTACAGCTGGATACCATGTTCGAAGCACAGCTTTCTACTATCACATGAGGAAGAAGAGACCACATCACATATCTTCTTACAGACTACATTCCTATTCATACATTCCAAAACAACACTTTTTTTTTGCAGGAACAGGATGCTGTTGAATCATGTTCAGCTGGTGACTGGCTATAACCCCAGGAGAACTTTTCTGTACAACTGCTACCCTAGCAGCCTGTCCTGTCCCATCCTGTATTTGTTCAGCTGATCGTTGCTTCTGCTGAAGTGCACAGATCTGCAATTGTCAAATCCATTGCTGGATTTACTGAATCACATTCTAACCCTCTTGAATTTTATCAAGTTCATTTGGAATTGTAATTGCCTTCTACTTGGTCAGTAGTTAGCTCAAGTCTGGTGCTCCCTACAATTTAACCAGCATATGCCATCAAAATTGTTAAGGAAAATACCAAATAACATCAAATCGGAGCAGAACTGTACAGAATCCCACTCAAGGCATCCTTGCAGTCAGACTGTGAATGATTCATAATTACTCTGAATGAGTTTTCCAAACAGGCTTACACGACCTCACTTTTAAATTGGTGTCAGACCACATTCCCCTACTTTCTTACGGAAAGTCACTAGATTCAAAGCTGTGCCCACTGCTTCTCTGTTCAAAAAGCTTGTAACCTCGGTGCAGAAGGAGAAACGTTAGTTTGACACAATTTTATCTCTTCTTGAAGCTCACAGATAGTTTCCCTGTTCCATTAATTTTCCAGTTTAAACTACTGACCCCAAGTTTTGAACAGAAGGGTTGAAGCAGAGAGACCAGCTGAGCCTTCAGAGTTTACAGCATCCCCCTTTTGACTCTAATGCTTCAAAGTAATTTACCATACAGGGTATCTGATCTAGGCACAAGGAGAACTACTGTTGTTCTGCTTGTGCTGCAATCTCTTACATAGAACAGAATAAGCAGAGCTTGTCTAAGTGAGGATACAAGAGCCCTTGAAGTATTCACTGCTCTGCCCCAACATCACACAAAGACAACGAAAGTATTTTGCTCCCATGTCTATGGGTCCCTCCTCCATTGTTCCAAGATTTCAGTGACCAGCTATTCCAGTGAGACGTCACATCCACGAAACAGAGAAGGCTCCTCAACAATATCCTGTACTTCCTTTGAAGATCCCAGCTGACTGAATTAAAACACGTAAAACATAGAGCAAATAAAGTAAGCATGCACCCAGTAATTATTTCCACAGCATCAAAAGCCATGTAGGTGAAATTACTGCCAACACCAACTTTGATAATAAATGTTGTAATGAAGTCTGTGCTGACTGGGGATATGATTTTTCTCAGGTCACAGTAAATACCTACTGCGCTCATTAAATCAAATCCTTGATAAAAGTGATGACATAAGGGCATGTTTTTAGAAAATAGAATCTTCCATCAATAGGCCAGCAGGACCCCTCTAAAGTGCAACCTGGGTGTAGCTCCTCTTCTGTAGTGCAACTACATTACACTCTGCACTCTCCTGGTATCCCAGTCTAAATTAATCCATTATTTGAAAAGCAAAAAAAAAAGAAAAAAAAAAAAAAAGAAAAAGGAAAAAGGTTTTGAAAGGTGAGGATGGGAACACTAGTGTTAAATGCAAAGCAGCTTACCGTACCACTGCACAAAGTTAAGAAGAACACACAAATATGCGGAGTTGCCACCAAGTAAGCAGCATACTGTCAGTCTCACTTCTCTCCTGGTAACATTTTCATGGGCCTGTAACCTCAATAGGAAATACTGCATTTATGCATTAAAACAACAGGTTTCAGTTATAATTTCAGAAAAAGGACAGATATGCAAATATGAAATTCATAACTCATTTATTGAATATATATATGCAAGGATACCAATAAAAAGAAACTAATACTGCAAACTACAACTTTGGAAGTAAAGCCAATATAACAGGAACAAAATATACATAACATTGTAGATAGGAATGCATTTACCCTCTTTCATACATTCCTTGCCTTTACACCTAATGTCAATGTATGCTAGAGCAAAAGCTGCAAACGTTAGCCTAACCTGAGTGCTTTTTGACAAGCAACAGTTCTCCAGGATTCTTTAAGGGTTGAGATGTCGCTGCTGACTAATGAATGTGCATACATATGCATATATAGAAACTGCTTCAACAAGTATATAAATCAAGAGCTGTGTTCTGTTTTTTCATCTCCGTCACTAATACAGTGGAATCTGTTTCTGGTGACTTGGAAGAAGAGTTACTATTTGCTATAATATACTCTTAAGATGATATAGATGTTCTTGTCAGATCGATTTCATTAATAAAGATTAATTTTCTTGTCAATCTGATTCAGCATATTAATATTTCTGGAATGCACCGATTATCACCCGATACGTCTGATATTTCAAATAGATTATCACCTCTTCATCCTTCACTCTGATTTAGCAGGAAGTTGTTTTTCAGATGGGCGGCAGTAAGAAGAAAACTCTCTTCCTTTATGTTACTTTTTAGGGCCAGATTCGGTATAATCATACCATTCTAGATTAGCAGAGCTATTTGTACCTAAAGATCAGACTTTGTGGAGTGTAGGTGTAACTCCTTATCACAGAACCTCCTGTGGATCAACACCTGCTGAATGCGTAGATCTTTTGATCACCTAATCTATTTTATCCTAGCTAGCTGCACTGATGCTGATATTGAACCGGCCTTTCACCCTTCCTTGAAATGGAGTGATAGCACAGCTGACTGCTATAGTGTTTGATCACGCCTTGAGACTCTGGCATTACACCAGCTGTATCCTCAAGTTATTTCAACAATATCCTTCTGATGCCTGTCCTTCCTTGGTACAGTCCTTTCTTGGTATAGCACAATCGCGGATCTGTTAATACAGAGACACAGTGAGTTGGGGAGATCTGTTAATAGAGAGATAAAGTGAGTTGGGGAGAAACCTCCCGTCTCAGAGGGTTCCAGGCATTTTAAACAGCACACGCTACTCTTGGGAGAAAAAGAAATGCCCAAAGGCCAAAAAAGAAAAAAAAAAAATAAATAAAGTGAAACCAGTTTCATAAGACAAGTCTTGTTAAATTTATGAGTTCTCTGATTGGGAGATGAAAGCAGAAGGTGCCTATAAAAAAAAAATTCTCAGTAACAAATAGACTGCATTAATTTAACTAGCTAATTTAAACATACCTATTTCACCTATAGAGCACTTTCATTACTTCTAACATTTCTGGGAAGGCAGTAGATGCTCCAGAATCATCTTCAATATATGCTTGCAAAGATTACACTGCTTTACCAAAAAAAACCCCCAAAAAACAGAACAAAACAAAACAAAATTCAGACAGACTGTCTGAAATTCCAAGCTAAAATACACATAAAAAGACAGTAATGGCAGTATTTTGTCTTTAAAAAAATGATGTAAATGTTGTATACTATCATACATTGTCATGCTTTTTAAAACTACAATTAAGGACGTAAGAGATGTACAGTAAATACACTGCTGAGGTACATTTCTTCTAAATATTAACACCACAACAGAATGACTCCCCAGCAGGTGATGCTACCTGGGAACATATAAATACAATTTTTACATTGTAAGGCACTTTTACCCAGCATACATGAGTTGAAGTCAGTTATGACAAATTTGAGGCTCATAAGAAAAAAGATTTTTGCTTTTGACTTTGTTTCCATGAATTCTGAATTAATGACAGTTTAAGTCAGGCCATCTCAGCACAAAGAGGTAACAGGTAAACCAGCCACTTACTTTTCTGCTACCCAAAGATAAAGTGCTGTTCTGGTTCTTCAAGGCATGGAATGGGGTAATTTATTTAATTACAGATGAATTATTGGACTCAATATTATACTAAGCAACTGACACACTATGAATTAGAGCTCAGTTTCAAATACAATCAGTATGCTGGCAGATCTACCCCATGCAACCTTAGATAAAACACAGTAGCTGCAAACAAAGTGCCTTTTTTTCCATGGGAGGGCCATGTCTGAGGCACGAATCTAGAAGTAATTTAAGCACTGAAGGATGTTACTTTGCATTCTAAAAACTGTTCCGAGTGGCTAAAAAATGTTCATATACCAGGAGAAACAAAACACCTTGATAGACAATTTCAATAATCGATCTGTCATTGCAATTCAAGTCACGCTTTTAATTTTGAAAGTTACAAATACAAAATAAAAATGATCAATGGCATCATGTTTAGAGCAGTAACTGAATATTTTCTGTACACAGCAATATTTCTTTCCAAAATGGCATTATTCTCCAGGAAAGCAAACAGAATTGATTGAATTCTAACAGGTAAAATGTTAGAAACTCCAATATACAGTTATTGAGTCCCTCAAGACATTAAGGGAATGCATAAGAAGACAAATGACACACGTTAAATAGTTTAAAAATACAAGTAAAAAATGCTACAGAAACTCATGTTACAAATGAACTGTTTTTGCAATACCAATCACAGAAGAACTGTAGCAGTTTATAGTCAAATCAGTGTATTTTGCTTGTTTCCTTCCTTCAAATCCAGAAGTTTTGTTGGGAGTTCAGAGTGAAAAAAGTCAAACCCCTAAACAAACAATAAGGTGAGGCAATAGCAACAGACAAACGTGTGGACTAGATTCAGCTTTTTGGTTTTATTTAAGTAAGTCTGAGAATGTGCTTTAACAGACCAACTGAAGAAGCTAGTAGCCATTAGAAATTACCAGGGGTTTTGAAAGAGGACTGTTCTGTTAGGTTTGGTATAGCCTAGATCTGATTATTCCCTAAAGGAACATCAAACTCTAGCAAGTAGAATTCCATGACGTGATTGTTGACTTGAGAGAAAGAGGAAAAAATAATCACTAAAACAATAAGGATGATAAGCAAAGTTTCTCATATAGTGGTCATAAGATTAAAAAATAAATACCAAATTAGCAAAAAAAAAAAAAAAAGGTTGTTTCCTCATTCTTCTTACAGAATATGGGACCTTTATGCATATTCTGGACAAAACATGAAGTGTTCCACACAACACAGAACACTTGAGGTATGGAGGTCAGATATGGTGGCTAAATTCCATAGTGAGTTAAGAGTTGTAACTCTCTGAAGTAAAAGACATTGGGCTGCAGACTCCAAACATTTGTATAATAAGGTTTTGATCACACTTAGTGAAGTGCTCTTTGTAAATCAGGGTCGAAGAAAGAGGTGGGTCCTTGGGAAAAGAATGAACTACAGCCCTTTGGCATGAGTTCTAAAGCTCACAGCTCAGAACCAACAGCTGCTCAAGTAAATCTCCGGCAAACAATGCTGGGCGGAATGAGCAATCACAACAGGAACAACCTGAAATGTTCAAGCCTGCTTCGGTGTACACTGAGTCCTTTTCTACTGTGTGCTTTGCAAGCAAAAACAGAGCGCGGCTTTCCCATCTACAGCCTCCGTAACTTGTGTATGAAGAAAATGCAAAATTCACAAAGTTCTGATTTTTTGCCACCACGAACTTGTCCGTGTTGTTAATTAAAACTAGCTAAGACCTTCCCTCATTGCATGAATCCACTAAACAACTTACACATTCCAAATCTTAAGGTTTTTTATTCAGTCCAGAAATATAGATCTTACTTCATTTCAATGTCTGCCTTAACTTTTGACACTGTACATATTACATATCATTTATATAGTGTTTCATTTTTTCCAGACACTGCAGACTACAAACTACATAATATTGACATGTAAAACTCTGCCACTTACTGAAGGCTCACACACATGAACGTTTCAGGCAGTTCAATGAAATTTCTAACAGAGTTGGGTAGTAAAAAGTTACTAACCCTTTTTCTGATTTTAGAAAACAATTTAAAAGAATTAGTAGTTATGATGTCTTAGCCATTCCCAGTTCTATAACTCTGTCCCTTGAACCTGTTTAAAAAATGATGAAAACAATAGTAAATTTAAAATCATACAGAAAAGCATTTAGCAGCTCTGACATTACATCTATATTTAGCGATAGAAATGAGGGCCTCCCTTCTTATACCGTTACAAAGTCAGCTGGATTTAAAAAACAACAAATCCTCCCCATTTTTCTACAGTATGCCAATAAAAAGTACTTATCTGCATACACTAGATTTAAATAGTTCACTGCAATAAACTACATCAAATGTATATTGCGTCTCAGTCTTGGTAACAGAGCTGCCAGGAGTAACTTCCATACCTAGTTTCCATTGAGCTGCTGCTGAGGAATGTCATTATGGTCAGTGCCTGATTTGCCACGGCTTTTGCTTTCTCTTTCTTCATCCTCTTCATCTCTTTCATCATTTCCACTATGGTTTTTACAATAGAGTCTAACACGATAAAAGAAACAGTGAGGACTTTTACTGAAAATACATATCGAACCCCAACTTTCCTCTCAATTAGTTTTGATATGTGCTACAAGTCAATTGCTAACTCTTTTAACTCATTCCTGGTTTTCATTCAAGCATCAGCTAAACAGAGAAAGAAAACAAGGTGAAGACTAGCCAACAAAACTTCAATCAATTCTAGTTTTCAAGAACTGCTACTACACTGCTCAGAGAATGCCCTCTTGTGGGAAAAACCACACCGGCAACTCAGCTGCAGCCAAGCCACTAACACCAGCGGTTCCGCAAGCAAGTATGGAAAGTTACAGGATCCAAAAAAACCCAAAAGTAAGCTACAAAACATATCAATATGGAGGAATCATAACACAAATTATCCAGGGTTTCCTCCATATAAACTGGAGATTAATCGAGGAGGAAAATATAAGTCCAGTAACTTATTCATTTCTCATATTAAAACACTACTAGAGAAATTTTGTTAGCAGAATAACTGAGATATTTTGCAAAGTCAACAATTACTTTAAAACATCATTTTAAATGAAACAATATTCTCTTTTTTAATAACATACTTGACTAGACAAGTAAGACAGAAGAAGTGCCATGAAATATCTTCACTTTAATTATAGAGTCAAGAATTACAAAAGTCCTTACTTATAAATTCCTCGTGACATATTCTCAATGTATTTAGCTTTGTCTTCTACTCCACAGTGGTAATGGTACGTTTTTATGCAGGCTTTAATTTCACACCCAATAGTAGCACCAGGCTGGCTGCAGAGCGTGCATTTCTGTGCAGGGGAAAGAAGAGAATGGCACTGTTTAGCCTTTCAGTCTCTTGCCTCTTAGTATTCAGCTTAGTGTTCCTTATATTTATGGCTACAATTTTAGAACAGCATAATTTCTCTGGCAGACCATCCTTCCAATAAAAAGCTAAAGACATTGTAAACCAGAAACTATGTAATACTAACCTATTAAATACGAACACTAAGATTTACCTGTCCATTGCATTGAAAATTGCTACATGATTGCACATATTATTGCATTTCCAAGATCATTTTATTGCCACTGAAGTTAGTATGTTAAAATAGGAAGAATTTTTTCTTTTCCAAGGAACAATATTGTTAGGAGTTGTCCGTTTTCTCCTCCCCCAAATTTCTTACCACTTAAAAAAACCCTGAATTTTAATAAAATACAATGTGACATTTTACCAACGTCCCCATCTCTGAGGCCTTAGTATGTTTTCATATTAAAACATCTAAACAGTTAGAAGCACAACACTGCAAGAACATACTAAGTTATTTGTAGTCTTACACAGTGTGCTTTTAGTAATGAAGGATCTAAAGCTGTTACTCTCTTTTAGTTACAGGAAGGCTAATAGTAACTTACTGTGTACATTGTCATATAGAACCCTAAATACCACATGCCCAAACACCACTAATTTTTAAGGTGATTCCTATCTGGCTACCTGTCCCAAAAGTAACAATCCATTTAAATTTTGTGTTTAGAAACAGATGGACAAGATTGTTTCACAAAAGGAAGGAGGCAGAGCTATATACACCTTAGTGGAATCAGTAACATGTTCATCCCATTCAGCAGATACTTACCATTCTTTTTCCTCTCTTGATTTCTTGAAGTACAGTTTTGATATCAAAATCACCAAACTCTGCCCTTGAAGTTGTTGTTAGCTGGACAGTGCCAGAAGAGAACAACTGTAGAACAAGCAAGTCAAAAGAATTTCAGGTCACCAACATGATTAGAAATTTTTTTTATATGCAGGAATAACTGAGGAATGAACATCACCTCCTGAGATCTCAGACAGCATGTGCTTTACCAACAAGCTATGAAAGACACCCATGCTGAGTAATTAGTATGATGAGTATTCCTTCTGATACCCACCTGACTGCTTTAATTACATTTGTTGCCTTGTATTTTAAAAGACAAAGGAGTAGACAAGAAATAATGACATGATGAAAACACAAAGTAATAAATGGGCAATATTATCAATTAAACTACTGAAATTTTTAGGAATATTCCATTTCCTTCCCTGTGACATATATATAATTCAGCTTCACAGCACAGCTGATGTCAACATACCTGAAAAGCCTTGAGGGATGACAATGGAGCACATAAGTACCATCCCTACTATCATCATCCTCATATATTCAGTTTAAACTTCAAACTGAAGCTCAGGTACACAAAGTAGCAAAGAATGAGACTCAAAGCTGCTGGCACACACCAGCTCTCTTGTTTAGTGAGGCTAGGTACAGGAAGACAATTAATACTCCACAGATTTCCTCGACTATTCATTTTGAGGTACAATGGGAACCACTGAGATTTGTTACTCAAAGCCCTGGCTCATTCATGGAACGAGTTACATGAAAGATAGCACTATCTGCTCATGTTCACTGAAACGAGCAGATTCTTTTCAGGCTGACAGTTCTACAGATGTGATCACCTAAAGGCAAGGGCTTTCTAGAACTTTCATGTCCCACTCTACTTGACTCACACAGCCTGAATTCGCTGGTCAGAAAATTAATGAAGTTTATTGATTCTTCCAGGATTTTATCTGAAAGCCTGTGGAGTAAAGGTATTCTGTTTTTTAAGCGGATTCTTTCAGTTAAAACTGTTTACTGCTTTCCTTTTTAAATATTGTGTATGCATTTAGACACTAAAGGAGCATTTTTAATAAGCTAAAGAGTCTCCCTGAGCTAATTCCATCTCTTAGCACGTAGCCAACTTTTATCCATATTGCCCGCAGCGAAAATAAATGAATTGCTCACTTTGCAACACTTCAGTGCTTAAAGAGATCATCAGCACACAGACAATACTCCTGCATAATTACATGTGAGGGTACTATATTAAAATCTAAAATAGCAAATTCAGACAAAATTCACATAATAGACTGGTTAACAACAATACCATTACTCACCATGCACTTATAGTGTGCTGCAGCCTTTTTGGCATTAAATATATGAAGCTTTCCTCTAGCTTCATTTTCTTCTTCACCTGCATGACAGAATCCACATTTAGGTTTTGTATCACTGGGGCTGCTTCTGTGGGGAGACCTGTCTCTCTGAAAGAAAAACATTTTACTAAAATATACTGCTGGGTTACAAACGAGGTTGTAATTTTAAAAGCCTGTGGCCACCAGCTGGAGGCTCAGACAAATGCAAATTTTAATAAAAATTATATTTGCAGAGAAGAAATATGCAATTCTGTCTTCTAAGAAGCTTAGCATATTTACTGCTTACATAGGAACTGCTTTCTATTTCATCTGTGCCATGTGAGGACGTAGATCTAGTGTCTTCTGATTGCCCTTTTAAATTTGTTTTTCTTGGCTTTCCCTTACGACCCCTCCTTTTTCCTTTGGGAGGTGAAGGCTCCAACTCGTGTTCATTGATACTTTCTTCTAAATCTGCTTTAGAAGTTAGAAAACATCATCAAATGATATTCTCAAAAATGTTACACAAAACCAACCAACCAAACAAAACAGACAAGGAAAAAAGATAACCTGTATTTTGGTCAGAAATAAAAATAGTGATTTTTCCCCATTTATTAGAAACATGCAACTGTAGATCTTGAAAACATATCGCACAGCTCTGCATCTTTATAACATAGTACCTGAAGGTTTAGCATTTCTTATAATTTCTGCTTTCAGACCCAAAATGTGTCCTCAGATACATACATTCACCTCCACTGAAAATAACATTCATTTAAACTACACTGAAACCAGCAAATGTTTTCAACCATGAAATAAGCTTTTTTTTCCTAAGATGCATAACTCCAATGTAAATTACACTTGATATTATGCCAGTGTTTCTAAATAACACCTCTCTCCTTGCTATATTGATACCTTTTGACTTCAGAATTCCTCCATTTTCATTACATCATTAACATCAAGTTTTAAAACTGAAATGTATTTTGCCTCTATGAAACAAATCTAAAACTTAATTTTAATTCCAGTATATTTTTACATCCACAGCTAAAGGCAGCTGCCAGTTTACAGAAAATCATCCACGCTGACAATATCCCAGACAAAGTATTTACAGACCATTAAGATTATAAGAACATACGTATTTTTAATACAGACATATCAAAGAGGTCTGAGAAGTTCCTTTGAAAATGTCAGTTCTATGTCAGTGCTATGAATGCTCCATAGCACTGCAGTCCAGTACCCAGCAGACTGTCCTTTTGATTACTCAAGGCTCTACAGTTAATACAGATCAATTCTGCAAACTTAAGATTGCTTCCAATGTCATCTAGTGAAGTTATATCTTATCTTGAATAACCAGCTCTGTTTAGTTGCTCACAACTTTCCTGATCATCAGCTGCTCACAGGAGCATCTTCCTTTTTACTTTTAAAATGTAACACCCGTCCCTGCTCAAACTGCAAAGATATTTCTTTAAAGCAGACTTCTTTAAAGAAAGATGCACACACACTGCTAAAGAACTCGCTTCTCAAAATCCAAACCACAAATGTCAGTATGAGTCCTCAGACAGAAAGAAATTCTAATCAGAAGATTTAGAACATCTACTTTATACGTTAATGAGCCATTTAACTGTTGTGGTATTATTATTCTTTAAGCATTGCTATGGCACTTATTGCCATTATATCGTGGTGTCAGTAGCCAGACATCTTATTTTGTGTCTAAAATGCTTCATCAGAACTCGTCTTTCTTATCTATTATCACATAAAAATCAAATCACATTCCTATCTCATGATTATCAGTGACTCAACTGCACAGAAGTTTGAAGTCAAAGACCAGTCATCGCCTTGGAGTAGAAGACAACTGAGCCACTGGCCTGAGGCTGTGCATACAGGCGTGTCCTATTCCGCTTGCTCTACCCCTGAGAAACCCACAGCTTCTTGCACATTTATTAATGAAGGACAGAAAACTAATCCAAACGCATCACAATGGGTTATACTGGAACATAATTCCCCCAAAGCTTTACTCTGTTGTATGGTTAGAAAGAGGCAAAAATTCGAGAATAAATTAATAAAAATCTGCAAATTATTTTGGCTTAAATTGGCAGATTATTCGGCTATATACAGATATTTCCAAGTTGCTACTAAAATACATCAGTATCTATCACAACATTCCTATGTTTTAATATACCATTCTTTTTTCATTAGATGACAAAAGCACCATTTATTTTACTCTGCAAAAATAAAATAAAATACATGATGACACGGATTATCTAATGAAACAATACATTTTACATTTTCTTCTGAGAATTTACTGTCTAACGTTATTTTCCATTTAACATTACTTACTAAATTCCCCAAGCAAGATTATGTAATTTAGATGTCATACATCTCAGACTGCATATAGTAAGTTTTATTACAATCTGAAAACCTCTTTCAAAGAAAAGAACTCTCTTCTATCTTGTTCCTCATCACATGAGCTCTCCACCAATGTATTAAAAGAAATTTGTGAATCTTTGTGTCTACTTTTACATTTACAGAAATCATAGATGGTTATTCTAGGGAAAAAGAAAAAAAAAAGTCTTACAAAAGTGTGACTATTGAATTCATGACCCTTTAAATAACATCAGTAAGAAGCTAAAAATATTCCTTCCAAAATCATTCCAAGGATTTCCCTACTGTATCTGATGAAGCAAGATGTAGTCCATTCACCAGCATTCCTTATTCCTTCCAAAACTCCTTATCAATTCTGTCAACCATAATGTGTCCACCTCTTAGTCCACCCTTATTTTCTAAACAACATTAAAACACCTCCCAAACTCTCTACAGTCACACTTTCAAACCTGGAAGTGAATCATAATAAGAAATGTCACAGCCCCTTTATAGAATAAGTTCTTAATTGCTGGGTTTTTTTTTTAGTCTACGATTATTAGAATATTCAAGATTTGAAAAGTAAAAATGTTGCCTTTTTAAAAGATGGTTTCAGTGTAAGACAAAAAAAATCAAGATTGCACAGCTTGCCTCAAAGGAGAACCCCTTTTCTATACTCAAAACTATTACTTCCAAAAAAGTTCAGAGTTCATTGAAATCTAGATGTTACATGACTCCATTTTTGAAATCAAAATTCCTCGCAGATTTAGGTCTCCTACTACAAATGACATGGACCTACAGATTAACACCACCAAGATGTTAGATCTGCTCTACCACATCTACCTGCCTGATACCTCAAAACATTAAAAGTTTCTCTCATTTTTAGCAGCACTATGAACTAGCATAACAGGACAAGAAGAAAGAGATTGCAAGCAGCTTTAAAATAGACCTGCCCTGGATGGTTTTACTGTTTAGTAGACAATTTGGTTTGTGCCCTATCCCTCCCCTCAAGCCCACTGCCAGCTTACCCTGTTTCCCTGGCATCTGATGGTTGAGTGTTTCCAACTTCTCATGTCAGCTTGAACTAAGGAAAACACAAAAAGTTGTTCAACTCCTCCCTGACCAGATGACGTTTTATCATGGATATCACCCATACTCTGAATCCCCTGAGATTCCCTGAGTATTCTTCAGCTGCCCCCCATCCCATCTCCCATTACTGCATTGACTTTTAAAATCATCACAAAATTCTCAACGTAACTTTATCTAAAGTCTTCAAAGGAGGTATCTTATGAGCTTTCTTCAGGAGGCCCTAAATGCTGTATCTGAAAAAACAAGCTTAATATGCAATATGGTCTGAGAAGGAGGGGTGGGGGTTGAAATTGAGAGGAAACATTCTACATTTTCAAAAGCACCTAAGAACATGATATTGTAAATTCAGATGAGTGGAAAGATGAGCAGCAACAAGCTCCAAATTTGCATTTTAGAAATCCATGAGCAGTACAAAGTACCACAAAAAGACGACTAGCAAAATGCTGTATTACATAAACTGTTAACAGGGAAACTCAGCTTCAGAGAGAAGTCTAAAAATTCTCCTTTGATCATGACTAGAAGCAAAAAGGATCAAGATGTTTTGCTGTTTAAAATAAGTCTTGGCAGAGAAGAGGTTGAGATATCACTGATCTATTCTATATTGCACCAGCTTGAAATACACATGAAATCATCCTTTTCCAAAAGCTAGGTTAAAGCAAAGTAATAAAAGAATTAAGTGATTTAAAGGTTGTGAAAGAGCAAATAAAAAGAGGATGTGTACAATAAAGGCTAATACTGCTCTCTGCATCCACCTCTCCTACATTACCTTAAACAATAGAATAAATGAGCCAGAAGGAAAGGAGGCTAAGTCTGCTTGAGGAAGACAATAAATAAAAGTGACTGGCAAAATATATTTGCAAGTAGGACTGTACATAAAAAAAAAGCCAAAATGTAGAATGGGGAAGTGGCTTAGACATGCTGTTATGTAAATCTGAAAGCACATTATGTATTTAAAGTTTTACAGTGCATTTGGGATAAAAGAGAAACTCTAAAAATGACAAAGAACAAAATCAACCTTACTAGATTTTTAGAAGATAAACAGAATATAACAGAGAAAGGAAAAAAAAAGTACTTTAGCATTTTAAAGTAAGATGTCCTTAAAATATGGCTGAAACCCAACGAGCCATATGTGGCAACATAATTATTTTAAACTGAAAAGAAATGTCAAAAAGCCCAGAAAACCTTATTACCCCAGTAGTCAATAATAAAAATGTGAATGCATCTATAAGCATTAATTAGAACCAGAGATTTGCATAAAAACCCTTGCAAGCAAATACAGAATCAAGTAAATCGATCATGAAATAATAATAGCTCTTCTCAGCAAATGATGTGAAATTAACAATCAAAATGCTAAATAATTTTTACTTTTAGGTTGTTTTGTTTTGTTTTTAATGGAAAAAGAATAAGTTACATGAAACATCTCTGAATTGGAGAAAGTAAGAGTGGAGTGGAAAAAAACAAAACTGAATTACCCCTGAGGTCCTGTCACGAATATGTTTTCCAAAAGTGCAAGATACCTCAAGGAACTGATGACTCTTGTCCAATATCTATTTTTGGATCGTATCTATGTTATGAAACACCTGAGATTATTTCTTTAATTAAATATATTTAACATAGAAAATGAATAAAATAGTCCTTCAAAACTATGCAATCTAAATGCTTTTTCAAAGCAAACAATTGTTGGCAAAGACAGAAGACAGACAATACACTTAGCTTATCTGCATCATCAGAAAGCTTACGACAACTGGTACGATAAACCTATTAAGTATGAGTTCGCTGACCAAGTTTCTATTTGTATGACATCTTGCCTAGATAGGAAGGAGAATTACAATGTAAACACACAGGACAGCTCCTCAGATAGGACAAAGCATTCTAAACAAACCACGTTACTGTCACCTTTGTTCCTTTTCCATTAGCTTTGTGTTTTTCTGTAAGAAACACCATTGTGGTGCTTCTGCAAAACACCTCATTAGCCTGCAGTGGACTGCGCAGGAGGTGACTGAATTACTGCCTGGGCCAACTGTTTGTGTTCTAACACGACATATACGTTTGATGTCACATTCAGAGCAGCATTCTCCACAAGACAGACAAGAAGAAGGCTGAGTTAGCAGAGCCTAGGAAGAATTTGTTCCCATCCACCACCAGAACTGAAATGACACCGAACTGCAATGTTACGGAAACTTTTACAGCCGGCTGCATCAACGCAGACAACGTTAGACAAGCTTATGCTGTGAACAGTGTTACAGAAATGCAACTATGAACAAACACTGATTAAAGAATCTCAAGATGAATCAGGATGTTACCTAACTATAATGCCAAAAAGTTTCAGATGTTTTTCCTGCCAGCCCCTGGCTTACACAGTGCTTTGAAAAAGGACGTGGTTTCATATAGATTGCAGCATCTCTAAATAGGTCTCACAGAGAAATATTATCCTGACTCAACTTACTGAGCAGTACGAGAAGCACAGGTTTCATGTCTGATCTTTAGAATAACATGAAAAGGATGCTGAGACAGGGAATGTCCTTATTTCCATTGTGGAAACATAATTCCCAGAGGCTATGAGTACAGCTACAATAGGAATTATGGACACTTTCTTTTCTGACCCCACAGTTCCCAAGCATGTTTTAAACATTAACAACACAGTCACCTAGCTGTCTTCATTATTCTCTGTTTTACTACTAGGTAACAGAAGAATGAAATGACATTCTTTTCTTAGTTTGTATTAAACTATTCCTGATCAGCTGAATTTGTTTTAAATTCAACACAGGGGCCAGGGAATTGAAAGATACAGATTTAAATTTTTTCAATAATTATTTCCAGTACATTAGAATAAATACCAACAAACAGTTCCAAAAATCTTAGTTCAACAATACTATATTCTTCAAAAAGAATAAATGCAATTGTATCAAACTGAACAGTAATTCAGCTAATAGCTAGCTGTGATAGTTTGAAAGCACTGGCACCAATTCCTTTAACCTATTAGGTACTGAAAACTGAGATAGCTTGCCTGAATTATGAATTAAACTATTACTTGAAGCTCAGGTCAGATTATTTTGTTAGATTTGTAACCAGCAAGACAAAAATCTAAACATGAACCTTTCAGTAACTTGGTCTGCTGCTCTAAGCAACTGTCTTCAAATCTGCTGACCTCAGAGCCACAGCTTAGTACCAAGTGTGAGAGTTCCTCATTTTTACTGTCCTTTTTCCAGTTAGTGGGAACACAGCACAGAAGAATCACTCTGAAATATACAGACACAAAGGAAATCTAGAAGAAATACAATTCTCCTGTTCTATGTCACCACACAGACAAATTAGACAAACCCAACAATCTGCTGAAACAGATAATGAATTTAAGAGCACAATACTTTGCTGCCATGTTTCATATTTTTATATTCAAAGAAAACAGAAGGTAGTTCAGCAGCTCCTGTCAATTAAAGGAAAACGAACTCCCATTGCTCATTAATTCTGTCTTGATGAGTAGAGAGATACTTAGTCTGATGAATTCTCGCATCACTTGAACTTCATGACAGCAATAAATAACATCTAAGAGGTCCTTTTTATTAGCTTTTAACTGGGTAACTTTAATTCCAACATAGGTCCTTCAATCACATTTCCATGCAGCCTCAAGAAATTTTCTTTAACGGTTATTAAATGGTTAACAGATGGTCTTTTTAAAATAGAACTTCTAAAAACAGCAATATTATCCAAATTTCACTCTAGACTTGAACAAGTATGCCACCCAAAATATCTATCTTTTAAGGAAGGGAAGAAAAAAAATATCTCACTATTATACATCAGTATCAGAAAATAAACTGTTCCGGACTGCAACAAATCAAACACTCTTAAAAACTCTTCCAACACCCACTAATACAAGTGACATAATTAAAATATTTGCATTGCAACAATTAAATCTGGATACAGAGAACAAAGGATAAAAAACCCCAGATGTTCTACACTGACCAAGGAAAAAAAACAAAAACAAAACCAGCATCCCAGAGCAGGTAAGTTTCCATTAAAAAGGACTGATAATTCCAGTCGTCCTGTGCACCGACACTGAGTGGCACAACCACAGATGAGCTCTAACTACTCCATTATGAAAACACTGCTGAGAGCAAGCATTCACAAAAATGAAGCAAAAACAAGAGGAAAAAAAAAAAAGGTCACCACATTAGCATCTAGTATCCCTAGATACTCTTCTCTGCAACTCTTCTGGTTTCACACACCACCATTCTTTCACATTTAAATTCCTCTGATATTCACATTTCCCTCAATAAATAAACCCAACAAAATACATATTAATCTCACCATCCAACATCTTGCAGTTATCATTTCACTGAGCAAACTTCAACATTTAAATATTAAGAAACAAACCCTCCAAAGTCCCTTCTTAAACTCTGAAAACCACCTTATATATTTCTGTCTTCTAAAGGTAATTAGTTTTCAATGTAGCAAAATATCATTGCTACAAGTAATTTCCATAAGACAGATGCAGTATGTATTTTTACTTTCTCTGATTTAAAGGAAGTCTGTCACAAAAGAGCTCCAGCTTCTGGCATTAACAAATTCATAACTGTAAGTAATAATATTCTATGGTTATAGTTCCCTAAACTGGACGGACTAAAAAGAGAACGTATTATTTCGGAAAGAGCACTGGGTAAAATTTCAGTCAAATGTTTAAAAAAACCCCAAAACATAAAGTGAAGTATAGCTACACGTATTTCTAGAAGTATAAAGCACAAGAGAACTAAATATTTTAAACAAAAAAATGTGTGCAAAGTTAAATGCTAAGTAAGATACTATCAGGTTCCTCGGCCTCAGTTTTTCTGAATGATGTTGTTTATTCCTCCTTCTCCTACCCTCAATCTAAGAGTCTCTTTGGATGAATCTAGTTTAATGTTTTAATAAACTGCCATCATCAACATTTAAGAAAAAAAGCCACTATGCCTCTAGTAATTTTTCCCATGTCTTCTCAGACAAATATATCCATATGAAATTGAAAAGCCTTTGCTGTTAAGCGAATGACACTGTAGAATTGAAGATAATAGTTTCTGAAAACTCTTAAAGAAAAGCACAAGTTCAGATCCTGCAAGGAATTCCAAGCAGAAAAAGTCCTCCATTGACATGGGGCTCCACGCAGAATTGGAGGCATTTTTCAATAGATATCAAACACTGAGCCATTTGTGAGTAAGTATAAAAGATTATGTTTAAATATCAGTTAAAGGGATTAATCTCTCTTTGGACTCAAATATCTTTCATATTCTGTTTCTGCTAACAAACCAAACAAACCCCAAACCAAAGAAACAAAATACCAAACTACACAATAACGTGGCTCTGTCACTCTGGAGAATTAATATAACATATATACTGCTTTTCTCATTTGCACCTATTAATAGCAAAATCAGAGAGTGTTTTATACAAAGCACATGACAATTATTTAAATAGACTAAAAAATACCAGTTTTCATTTGGGATTTTCTATTGCCTTCAATATCTTTCTGAACACTGAAGTAACATCCAAACACTGCCGTTAATATCTACTACCCGTAGCATTAAAAGTAGTATATTACCCTAAAAATACATTTGGCAAAGAGACTGAAGTAATTTATGGAATTTGATCTTCACTAAATAGTCACATACTCCTCATTAGTTAAATCTGATGACATTTCAGTTGAAAGCAATGCAAAAAGTAAATTAACAACTGTTCGCTTACCCAAATTCAGACATAGTAGGAAAAATGCTCACACAAATACACAACAGCACAGCTGGTTTGGAATTTTAACAGACCACAAGATTTATCTACGTTTGTGGCATATCACCCCTCACACACTTTGCTATTCTCCTCTGCAAAGATGCACAGCTTTTACGAATGTATCCATATAGCTTTTTCTGTTTATCAAAATGACTCTGAAATAAGTGATCTGACCAAAAACATTTTCATTTACTTTTGGATCCTTCTTATTTGAAGAGTTAAACTCTATTTAATAGTTAAAAAAATATAGTGCACATTTGGGAACATTAGCAATAGCAAAAATCAGCTGTAACCTGACAAAATATTTTAGATGTTAATATTCTGAATATTTAACTACAAATATAAGCCAGCTTCTTCCCAGAAGGGAATGCATTACTTCTACCCAAACTTGTTTTGACAGAACATCAAATCCTTCAAACATCCTAAAATTTATGTTTTGGGTTTTTCTCCACCTCAATCAATAATTTTTAGATAAAATACAGAAATCAGATTGTTTCTCAAAAAAATGTAGTTCTAATTTTTACTGAAAACATTTATATTCTGCAGAAAAATTAAATTTAACCAAATATCTTTCTACAATGGGAAAAATTTATATTGAATAATTTTACCTTCAGAGTTATGCGTAGTTTTCTTGTGTTTTCGACATAAAATCCTATAAACAAAGTAGTTGAAAACTGTCAAGTCAGTCACGATTCACAGATTATTTACTCATCTTTTAAATTTAAATGCCAGTACATTTTTCTCCCACTTGTAAGACTCACTGATATGCAAATCTTGCAGTGAAAATACGCTTTTCTAGCACATCACTATTTTGAATGCCACAATCATTAGAAATTTTTTGCAACAGTTTTGTTTAGATTCCAAAGTGGGTTTTTTATTTTGCTTTGTTGTTGTTGTTTTTTTTTAAAAAAAAAGAATGTGAAATATAAATACAAACATATACATAGCAAATAAATAATAGTTACATGTAAATGCCTTGTGAGGGTTTCTCTCTTATCTGAGCTTTATCATGCAAAGCACAGTAGTAGTGATATGTCTTGTGACATGTTTTCACATCACAGCCAATGGTCGCTCCGGGACAATGGCATAAAGAGCACATCTGTAAAGAAAAAGAAAGCACAATACATATTACTGTTGGCTTCGTATTTCTGAGTTTGAAAATAATAGTTACTACTCCTGGTGACAAAACAGAGTTATGCACTTGGCATTCCTCTTCCTGCTCTTGGGTGTTTTTCATAATTTATTTCAAAACCAAGAAGAAATTTGTTGCAATTATGCAGCAGTATGATAACCATCATACATCAATTTCCAATTCAATGAAGAAAATAAAGAATTTACTTTTGTGGAATAGCACGTGTTTGATGAAAGTGACACAGCTATTCACCTAAATATCCCACTCCCAAGGACAGTCTGTTTGTTCCAAACATTTCAGAAAAGTTAAAATCATAAATTGTACCTGTTCAATTCTGAATTACATTATGAAGGTAAGAGAAAAAGACATCCATTTAGCAATTAATCTTGCAAAGTCAGAAATACTGATGACCTCCAAAATTACCCTAGCCTCAGCAGCTAACTCTACATCTTTTTTCTATACAGTTATTTCCTTCAGTCATTTCTAAAACACTGAATTCAGTGAAATATTTGTTAAGTGCAATTAATTTGTTTCAATTAGACTAAATTTTGCTTGTTATCCTTATACTGCAGTAGGGGTTAAATGAGAGCCTGTTGCTTTAGTCTTCTTTCCCAATAATTAATTCTTCTCATATTAGATTCATCATTGCTCAGGACGCACCAGCTATCATGCTTCTAAATTGCTCACTGACGTTCTCATGCTGTGTTAGGAAAGGAAGTAATTTATAGTATCACAATATTTTCCTCTATATTATTTTTTACTGACATAATATTGCCATAAAATCTGAGAATTTCCCATTAAATTCCCCTCCCAAGACAATCAGAGGTTTTTGTTTGTATCCTGCATGGTGCCCACACCCCCAAAAGGTTATAATTAATTCCAAATCCATAAGCATAAGTGTGCAACTTAGGACAGAAGGATGCTCCCTACATGTATCTTTGTGGAATACACTTTCTGTTCACCACACTACCTTAGTCAAGTTCTTCTTAGTCTCAAATATGCTAAATAAATATACCATCAAAGTTATATATCACCATCCTGGTTTTCAATTTTAACAAAGTTAACTGAACAGTAAAAATGTCAAAGCCTTGGATCATCTCCATTTACTCCTCTGCAAGCTCTGAAATGGTATAGTTATATACTGTTCCCTAGCTGTTACCTAATTTGTATGGGTATTTTATCTTGTAAGTTTGTTATACATTATGTTTTAATATATAAAAATGGCTGATCAAAGTTCTTTATAAAAGCCCAGGTTGAAATTATATCCATCTAATCAACTTTAGTCAGAACTTCAGTATTTTGAAAGCCAGAAATGACTAAAAGGAAACTTTATTTTTATGAACACCATGATGTATCTGTGTGAACAAAAGAGACCATAGGAATTTTTATATTGATTTATTGATCTATATTTCCTGTCAGTAATAAAATATTTATTCCTTTGGTACAAGTCCTTCTGGCCAAATGGTCACTGTCAACAGACTAATTCATTCCCAAGTTATATCACGTATATGTGAAGTTTGACAAGCTGCAAAATAGGTAAACTCTTTAAAAAATATCCTCCCGTGCACAGCTAACAGAAATAATAATGTTATTAGTGCTTTGTACTCCCAAATGTTTAGACTTCACAAGTTTTTATGACTGGCCTATTAAGATTTGAACCTACAAACTTTTCTCAGACAGAACTATATTGCCATCAGAAAGGCTCTACACATCAGTCATTAACACTCCAGTAACGAACAGGCCTCAGTGTTCAGCGTGCCCCTGGTCAGCAGCTGCACCTCCTCAAGGAGGGCAACTACATAAAACCTGTCAGAAGACAAATTTAGTCCAAGCTATCAATATAATTACTGAATCCAGTGCACCACACTGAGATATTTTTGCTCAGTGTGTTCCCACATAAAAAGAAGAGGCTAGAACAGAAAGCAGACCTCAGAGGGGGCATTTGGGTAACGATAAACATTTAGCGTTAAGCTTCCTATAGCAGTCAAGGGAGAAAGACAGATTCCTCCAGAGATTGATTCAGAGATGCAGTTTTCTGACAGCTAGAGAGATAAGGCACCTAAGTTAAAAATCTAAAATTATCTTGTAAATTCTCTCCAAATAGGAAACATCTCAGGGCTAGAAATCTACTAGGTTAACCACATCCAGGTTTTCTGCAAAAAGCTGAACAATGTGGCTGATACGTACAGCCAGTGAGCTCCAAGAACACATCCAGCTGTTGCATCAGTGCAGGAACATAAAGAGATTCAGAAGCAGAAAGACAGAAACCACCAGTCACGTAAAAAGAAATAATCTTCAAAAAAACAATTTAAGAGGCCCAAGAATTAAAAACGTTTCTCTGAGATCTTAGTTCCATTTATTATACCACGTTCTTTGTGAATTCCTAATCACAACATGAATGACTTGTGAATAGTTATTTCTTTATGCTTCAGCTAATTAGAGCAAATAAAGTTTCCAGAATTGGAAAAGATTCAAATGAAACACTGGATGAAATATTGGACTATTAAGTATATAATTGTAGTTCTACAACACTACTTCAGACTACTCTTAGTAGTCCAAGAACTGGTAAACACCTAAGAATGCTTTAAATAACTAAGCTGAAAATTTTTCATGTGAAGAGTCAATTGATCACTTGTTAAAAATATTTTGAAAAAGTCTCAGTCATTTCCCAAGTGGAAAACAATTAGTTCTAAAAAATAAAAATATTAAAAAATGGAAATAATGAATTAGCTTCTTGAGAATTAAAAAGTCATTGCTGCTCAATTCTCATTAATTTGGTAGAACTGTAATCACTATTGTGCCCACGTACCTCACAAGATGCCTGTATTCACAGAATCATCTATTAAATCAACATAAAAGGAAGCAATAAAAGTACCTTTGGTAGTTAAAACCAGATTTTGGCAGCAAAACCATATACTGGTAAAGGCATAACAACAACCTTGCCAGGTCCTAAAATGTGGGTTACATTCTGAAATCTAACAGAAAATATTAACTAGAAATCACGGGATTAGAAACATTAATTTAGGAAATGCTACTGTTTATATGAAGTCCATCAAAAGGAAAAACAGGCATGTTCTGTGAGTTTTCAAATTTGCTTGTAAAAATCTGCTTATCTGCTACAATCATCTACATTTGCCAATGAGAAAAAAGCAACTATAAAAATAATAATTCTGGATTTATTTTTTAATAATTCCATGATTAAGTTACAATTCTTAAAACAACATTTACATTAGACCAAATCTGACAGAAATAAAGAAACTGCATCTTAACCTTTCCTAAGGACTATTCAAGGGCTGGTTAACTGACATTTAAATTTCATTTCAATATAAGTATAATCATATATACTGAGGAAGGTTGCCCACCCAAAAAACATGAGACCAATTTTACTTCAATATCTTCTTCTATATTATCCATTACCCTAAAGCTCACACAGTGGTAGCACTTAAAAAAAAAAACCCAAACCAATATATATATATATATAAAATACACTGAACAACTTCATAGTAAACATTATAGAAGGTAAGAAAATACTGCCTTCCATTTTCAAAGGCCAAAAATAGAGACTTACCAGTTTGGTGCCTCTCTTTATTTCTTTTTGAATATCTTCAATAGAGAATCCACCAAGACTCTCATTATCAGTGTGTGAAGATACCAGTGCAGATGAAAACAGCTAAAATTATAAAAACAAAATTTATTTTTTTAAGTTTTAAGGGCATAAGTGATATAGAACATTTCTATATACGAAACCCACACAAATTCCAAATTACAGTGATTAATCGTTTGTGCCAATGCCACAGCTGGCTGAATTTTTCATTTGTTTGTAGTCTTTCACTAGCTCATTCGGTTCCTCTCCCTTTTCCTCTGGGTTACTTACCATACATTTGTGATGTGCTGCCACCTTCTGGTTTTCTGACATCAGTAATTGTCCACATTCATTATCTTTATTAGATCTACAAAAACCACACTTCCTTTGTCTTGAAGAGACTTTTTTCTGTCCAACTGAGCTTGTCATGATTTTAAATGACCTTAGAACGCCACTTCAATCCTCTCAATGCTACAGGAGAAAAAAGGTGCAATCAGCATGTTATCACCAACAAAAGGCAATTTAACTTCCAGTTTTATAAATATTGATTGCTTAAAAATGAACTGTCCCCTTTTACCCTTTTCTTTACACTACTATAATATATCCCAATAAACAGGCACCTAAGAGAGCCAGCATTTTGCCAACTTTTTATGAAATTGTATCAGCAAGCAGAACTAATTCTTTAGGCAAAAAAAGTTTGAACATTAATACAAAACTTTGGATACTAATAAAAAACTTACTGGGAAAATAAGAAATGAATGGCAAACACAAGTACAGCAATCACTAGAGGAAAAAGTTACTGCAACTCTTTCATCCCATTCTTATAGTTATTTATGAGAGTGAACATGTAGAAAATGCACCACCTGTGCATGCAATAAAATTCATGCTACTGAACTTCTTCAAAAACAGAAGCAAAGAAAAACCCAAGGGTCTCCCAGAGCATCCAGAGCAGGTTTTGAGTGTAAAAGCTCACCAAGTAGCCTGGCAGATCAGTAACTACCCTCAGATGAAAGTAGAGATGAAAAGATAAAATGCTACCATTTTAGGTATTTCACAGATATGTTGTGGCGAGTCAAGCAGCATTAGGAACAAAATTTTAAGAGGATCTATGAGTAACACGCTGCAGTGGCAACCTTTTCCAGACACGCAGCTAGTTTAGCATTACCACACCAGTTTTCATTAAGCACATGAGAGCTGCTATTCTCATCAGCGAAAAGTCACTTAAATTATACTCAAAGTGAATCACAAACTTTTTACGTGTTACCAGGAACACATTTTAAAATAAAACATCAAGGTGCCAATCCCCTCGTCAGGCAGACAGTGTGAGTTCAAAAGTGAAAATGCCTAACGAGTGCACGTGCTGCCTGGCCCAGTATTAAGCAGTTTGTGTTCATTTGTTTCTACATCTCTCGAGAAATAAAATCTTGTCCTCTTCAAACAGACATGCTTGGAGCTTTTTACTTTGGAGATTTGAGCCTCACTGTCAGAATTGGCCACAACTGCAATAAAGCATTCTCCTCAGCCTTTGTCTACATTAGACTAATCTAAATAAGAAAAGCCACCATATAGTTTGATATTTCTGTGGGGGAAAAAAAAAATATGAAACCCAGGTATATCAGCAGAGTTGCAATCCTGAGCCTGTGCTACGATGGTGATCTGCACAAAAATGCACGACTGGTTTCTGAAATGTGCACTGGCGAACCTGCCTGCTTCCCAGCGCTGTCAGGCACTCCTCGTGCTAATGTCACTCACTATTTTGCTAATCGAAAGCAGAGCAACGTCATTAAGTTTCTCCCGACACACAGTACTGCTAAAACACAATCCTTTCATATTCTCACTCTTCTCTTTCAATGTATTTTCACAGACTGAATTTTAACTGTTTGCCTTGCAACATTTACTACAAGACTCCGGCATCAGAAGGTGTCTGTCCTGTGTCTATTGCCTTTGCTTTATCAACAGCTTCATTTGCTTTCTCTCATAACTGGAAAGCAGTTTACCAGCCAGTGACGCATACTCCTAAGAAGAATGCATAGATTTCAGATCTTGCTGATTTGCACAAAAAAATGTGCCAATCTGGATAAACTAGTCACACCCTTTTGCAGTGGCAATAGAGAGTTCTTAAGTGTTAAACACAAAAGAACTACTATACTGTATTCTTCTAAAGAAAAAACCAAACGAGACCATTCTGTAATCCTTTCTGAGTGGAAAGAAGGAATGGTTTCTGAAGATATACAGATTTTCAAATGTGTGGGGTTTTAATTTTTTTTAACTTCAAGAATAATAAAAATATTATTATTAATAATAATAGTAATATTTGAAAGTAGGAAAAAGCCCTACAAAAGACAAGTAGAAAACAGTATCACAAAGATTTCTTGTTCTCAAAAATAGCTCAACACAGTGATGGGTTTAAAAATATATTAACAAAATAATTTAAAACGTAAGAAGTTCTGCTTTGGTGTAAATAATTTGACATAAACACCCACATTCATTTGGGTCTACCTGTTTCATTTTATATTCGGATTATATTATCACTATTTTGACAGCAATTACAGTAGTTCTTAAAAGGAAGAGCAGGGATTTCCTAGAACATGTGCAGCTTCTACTGACTTACAGGAATAAGGATCACTACTATAAAAACCAGCTCCCCTTCAATTTAACAAGGGAATTCATATTTTAGAAAATGCAAATAATTTATAGAACATATAAAAACTTATTAAGTGGCTTTTATCATCTTTCATTTATAATAATAACAACTTTCCAAGAAACAAGATTATAAAGCATCTTCACACAGCTTCATGTTTCCAGTGCACTGACAGGAGAAGGAGCATCACTACAGCAGTACCAGAACCTGGCACAACCTACCTTCGTGAAGTACTTCTGCATAATTAGATTTTTTAGGGCCCACAGTAAAGTTAAAAATAATGCCAATATTTACTTGATGATGTACAGATGTCGATGTTATAACAACAATAAAAAATTAAATTAGCAAATACTACGTTTTGGAATAATTAGTAAATTATAAATAATTTAACACATGAAAAATTATTTGAAACACAAACATACCAAGAAGCATCAGGGTATGCCAGAAAGGAATTTCACATTCTTTTCACCATCAGATTAAATTACTTTTAAAGAATTTTACAAGGATATCTAAACCTTTTTCCCCCCCAATCCTGTGTTCTTTGCATTTGTGTTTTCTGTATCACTAGGCACAAACACTATTTATACATTTCTAAAGACTGCAGAAAAAAAACCTGAGCATGAGAAATATTTTAGAATTTAATCTGTAGACCTCTCCCTAAATTATGTTTGCTTTCTCATAAATGTGAGAAAACACTACTCTGGGGTAACTTTTCTTTGTGCCAAAATGCACTTCTTATCCTGTCCCTTTGAAAATACTCATTTTCTGAACAGATGAACCAAGTTACGCAGCTGTACCACAGACCAGGAATTCTGAACACAAACACTCAAAATTCTGGTTCCATCTCTCGAGTTAAATCACCCAAAAGCAACTAATCTGGTTTGTCAAGTATCAAGCTATGTTTCCTGGGAACAAAAAAAAATAATGCTCCTTAAGAAGAGCTCAATATTTCTGTTTTCTGCCTTTAAAAACCCAACAGATTAATAAGATGCATAAAATAGTGTTTAAATTAAATAGTGTTACTGTTGACAAAACCTTGCTTGTCAGATTTGTCAGGGAAAGTCTTACAGACTGGATGACAGAAAGGGATGTGCTATGGAATCACTCACTTGGAGATTATGCACTGTGTCTATGAGAACAGAACACACATACTACAAAACACAGAGTATTACTTATAAGCAAGTTTTCCACAGGCTTGGTCTAAAAAAATAAAAAGTCACATCTAACGTAAAAATCACAAAAGGAGAAACTCATTCAGCGATTCTTCACTCAAAAATTTGGGTTCATTTGCATTCCTGTTCCTTAATGCCCACTAAGGAATTCAACATGGTGCTCCTGCTAACAGCACTTTTATTTTATCCTTAAAGCAGCAGGTTTTACAAACACTTACAGCTTGTAGTGTTTTACTGAGCTCTAGACGACAGGTTTTCAAACGTAAAAGAAAAGTGCAAGTTCAACTACTCTCTGAGGCAACAGACGCTCTCAGTGGAGACATTGTTCAGCACTGAAGAATGGAGAGTAAACTTGATTCTAATGTCTATTTATTGCCCAAATATGCTTCAAATTTACTGCCTGCTTATAGGAGTCGAGGCCCCACCTGTATTCCCAACAGAGGCCAGTGACCTATATGCTGCACTTTCTCAGGTAAGGTTCACAAAATTATATTGTTAAAAATAAGGATTTATATTTGCCCGTTAATAAAATTTCAGATACCCAAGAAAAACTTACAAGAGAAGTATACAAACTCTGTAAAATGTAATTAAAACACATTGAAGTGGTTTGGACTCTCAGGAAAAGCTACAGAAAATATTTGTGTTGATTTGTTCAAAATGCTCAGCAGAGATATATCAGGTTCCCTGTTCAAAAAAACTTTTGAGTGCTTTCTGGGGTCAATCAACCATTATTGGGGACATTATTTTGGAGGGGGGATGGTGTGAAGCTGGGGAGAAGGGGGGGTATCCTGTGGGTGCCTGTAGTTGAGAACCCAAAGTTACAGGTCCCACAGAAATCTTTATCTAAGAGTTCTGCTCACACAGCATCCTCC